TGGGGAACTACCAGAGGATTGGAAAAGAGCTGATCTTCAAAAAGGAGGAAAAAAAATATCCAAGAAACAACAGATCAATCAGCTTGACATCAATACCAGGGAAGACCCTGGACAAGATAATCAAACAACAGATCTGCAAACAGCCAGAAGCAAGCAAAGTTATAACCAGAAGCCAAAAAGGGTTTGTCATAAACAGATCATGCTAAACAAATCATATTTCATTGTTTGACAAAAAATTAGAGGGCCAGTGAAATGCAGTGGACATGGCATACTTGGATTTCAGTAAAACATTTGACAAAGTAGACCACAACCTACTTCTTGGTAAGCTAAAAAAATGTGGGATAGACAGTATCACCACCAGATGGATTTGTAGCTGACATATCAGTTTTAAAATGATCATGTTGCAATCTACTTTCTATGCAAAAATAGACTTATTTGAACCATAACTTAAGTCAAAACTAAAGAAGCAATTAAAATGTTTACAATGAATAAAACTCCAGAACCCAATGCTATTTCTGCAGGATATTATAAGGCTCATTAAGAAATCCTGACTAAATCTTGAATTCAAATAATTAATGAGATTCAAGTATGTGAAGAACTTCCTCCATCATGGAAAGAGGCCTTTATTTCCTTAATTTATAAAGGAAGAGATTCCCATAACACACAATCAGTAGCCCTATTTGAGGGTCATGCCAATCAACTGGAAAGGGGGATTCCTTAATTTGACATGGTGAATAGGCTGCATTTACTAAGTGAAGATTGCTCACATTTTGCTCTGGATTTATTTGTATCATAGCCAACAGCTACACAGTTAATAAACTTAAACACACACACACACACACACACACACACACACACACACACACACTCCTGAAGTACTCCTGTCTGCCTCAGCATTAATGCTCTGAGATGATCCATCCTTGTCTATGGGCTATTTTTGGAAGATCAGTGGACTTCTGTTTTGAAACAGGTTTACCTGTTTTCCAGAAGACTGTCAGAAATGGGTTGAAAAACAGTCTGGCCTAGTGGGTGGGGGAGAGAACATGTGAGCTGAGAAGAGGTTCACATAGCAAACTGAGAAAGTTCCCTGCTGCCTCCTCCTAGCCTGTCAGCTGCCCCACTGACTATGGACTATTTTTGGAGAGATGCTTGACAAAAAGCTGGTAGACAGGCTCATCAGTCATCCTCTTCCTCAGGGACATAAGCAGGCACTGCTAGGTCAGACTCTTAACCGACGTAGTCCAGCAGTTTGTTCTCATAGTGCTCAAACAAGGAAGAAAGCCCACTAATCTCCCTGCGATTCCACTCCCAGATAGTCGCATTTCATCAAGGCTAATAATCATTGATCCCGATGGTTTCCATGAATTGGCCGAACCCATCTTTCAAGCCACCTAAGAAGGGAGCTAGTACTACATTTCATAATAGTGAATTTCAAAGTTTAATTATGCATTGTGTAAAAAAAAAAAAAGGCCGTTGGCTGTCCTGACCCTTGCAGGATTCAATTTCACTGAATGGGCCTCTAGGTCTAGTATTTTGGGAAAGAGGAAAAACAGCTTCTATGTGCCATTTAATCCACATCATGCCCAATTCTGTAGATTTCAATCATATCTCCTTTCATTTGCCTCCTTTCTAGGGAAGCTGCTCCAACCCCTTCGTCATCTTAACTGCCCTCCTCTGAACCTTCTCTAGCTCTATTGTCTCCTTTTTGGGGAGCAGCTACCAGAACGGCACACAGTATTCCAGATCAGGTTACACTACTGACTCATATAAGAACATTAGGATGTTGCCATCTCTGTTTTCAGTGCCACTTCTTATTACTCCTAACATGCTGTTGGCCTTTTTTTTTTAATACAGTAGATGCTCACTGTGTCAGCACCTCCATTGATCTGTTGACCATTGCTCCAAGGTCTCTTTCCTCATCAATCATTGTCAGCTGATCCTGTTAATTTGTATGAGCACTTACAATTTGGGGTACCAATGTGCATCACTTTACCCTTCCTCACATTGAATGGCATCTGCCATTTTGATGCACATTCCCCTAATGTGCAGATATGTCTTACTGTTATTACTACTCTGAACAACTTAATGTCATTAGCAAACCTGGCTATTCCATTAGCCATGCCTGATTCCAGATCATTTATAAATGTGTTAAAAAGCACCTGTCCTGGACAGAATCCCAGGATTCCTATTCTTTAGCCAGTTCTTTATCTGCAAAAAGATCTGCTTTTATTCCCTGGCTGTTCAGCTTACTAAGAAGTCTTTGATGAGGAACTTTATCAACAGCTTTTTGAAATCTAAGAAGATGTTATCCACTGGCTTGCCCTCATCCATATGATTATTATCACTCTCAAAAAACTAATAGATGAATTTATTAGATGGACCTTTCCTACATGAAAGAAAGGTCTTCCTGTTAGATCCTGATTATCTGTGGGATCACATTCTCCCAACAATTTCTACCCATTCGCTGAGACCTGGAAAAGAGGACTCCCTCTAAATCCCATCATTTTGGGAAAATCTCTTGCAGGATTCCTGGGGTTGAAGCACTGCCCTTAGTATCAGGTTGGCCCCACCCGGCTTGCTTTTTGCAACTCCATTACGACCAGGCTATTTCAGCAAGACTTTGGGATGAAGGAATCGCTTTAATCTCTCCTGAAGTGGATGGTATTCCAGTTGTTCCTTCGAGCATGGAATACTACCGATTAAATTGTTGATACAGTGTTATTTTATTATACTGTTATGTTTCTACTGTTTTGTTTTACTCTTATTACTGTTTTAGGAGCTCAGTAAGCTGCTGCTGCATCAGGCATGACTCAAGTGGTATATAAGACTACTGAAGTAAAATAAATAGATAAAATAAATACTTAGGCTACAAAGTGAAATTGGCTAAATTCATGTCAACTTTACTCCAGCACCAGATGGCCTAAATTATTAAGTGCTTCAGAAAAGAGAAGTGCGCTAATTCGGGCAGTAGTGGGATTCATATATGTGAACCAGTTCTCTATGGATGCCGCTTCCAGAAGTCTGTTCTGGGCCTGGGCAACAAAAAATTAGCTACCAGTTCTGCTGAACTGGTGTGAACTGGCTGAATCCCACCACTGAATTCGGGACACAATCAGCAATACATTTTAAATTTAATCAACACATGGCCTCCTGTAATAGACCATGTGCATTTCCAGAGTTCCTTAGGAGTAAAGTAAATGCTAAAGACACAGAGGGGAACCGGGAAGAGAAGGTGAGTTAAGGAGACCAACTGCCTTGAAACCCCACAAGAGGAGTGTTTACAAGATGGCATTGATTAAATTAAAAGAAGTAACCAACGTTGCATCACTCCGTGTTTTTATATTAACCTCCAGGCATCGGTGAGGCAAGATGGAAACTGAGAATTGCATACAGAGGAGGAGTTTGGGAGGTGCAGCACTTCTGCAGCTGGGAAATGCGGTTGAGGCATCTCTACCAGCGCAGGCCTGAGTTGTGGCTCTGGATCTGGGAAAGCCCTGTTGTCAGAATCAGAGCCATCACAGGGCTGGAACCTGGTGGTACTCATCGCTCAGCCTGATGATAATTCACTTATTAAAAAGTAACATTCCCAGGAGTAAGGGTCGCTTAATAGGGTAGTACTGCTTGTTCAGGTGAAACTTAAAATACTCATGAGGTTAAGTTGATAGCCCACAAATAAATTCTGTTGTTGTGGTTTTTGTAAAAGCAGCACTGGGTCCAGTGGTCCGTCCCAGCAAATTTTTCCTCTATAGCTTGCTGTCTAATTAGCCTTTTTATCCACTTATATATATTTTTTTATATGTAGCACAGCCTTTTCTAAATTGGTTTAGAGATAGACAACTACTTTTAGACAATCATTTGTCCAGGAGAGTAGAAGGTCTTCTGCCTTGGGCAGGCAGTTGGACTAGAAGACTCCAAGGTCAGAATACTGATGGATTGGTTCTTTGATCTGACCTCATCCAAAGCTACTCCATATGTTCTGGTCACCACATCTCAAGAGGGGTATCAGAGAGCTTGGAGAAAAGGACAACCAAGATAATCAGGGGCTTGAACAAAGGATATAGCAATCGAGGCTGCTTATCTTAGAAAACAAGCTTAGAAAGAAATACTACTGAAATACAAAGATAGACAGGTATGCATGCTTTAGCTCTCTGTATTCTTAATTCTTATTTTGCCCAGTCTTCACCGTTCCTAACTTAAAGGCAATGTTTTTTCTCCTGATTTCTCAAGACAATGTCTCTTCCAGCTAGTTTTTGTCCCTTGGCTGGGGAATATGGACACCTGCCTTTGTAACAGGCTCAGGTTCATTTGAGTTTGATCTGATGGGATTGCTTAGATCCTGCATAAAGATATCAAAGATTCATTTCATTGTCTCATGTGATAATGAACCCAATCTAACATGCACTTGGCATAAATAATAATAATAATAATAATAATAATAATAATAATAATAATAATAATAATAATAATAATAATAATAGTAAAGTTGGAAGGGACCTTGAAGGTCATCTAGTCCAACCCCCTGCTCAGGCAGGAAACCCTATACCATTTCGGACAAATGGCTGTCCAGTCTCTTCTTAAAAACTTCCAGTGTTGGAGCATTCACCGCNAAGGCATTGTAAAGTGGTATTAACACTTCACGTGATCTTGATTCTATCCCTCTGTTAATGCAGCCTAGCACTGTGTTGGCCTTTTTGGCAGCTGCAGCACACTTCTGGCTCATATTTAGGTGATTGTCCACTAGGACTCCGAGGTCCCTCTCACAGTTACTACTATTGAGCAAGGTGCCACCTATGCTGTACTTGTGCAATTGGTTTTTCTTGCCTAAATGTAGAACCTTGCTTTTATCACCATTGAATTTCATTTTGTTAGATAGTGCCCAGTGTTCATCTTTTCTCTTGTGATTTCATACAGGAGTTTCAGCTTCATGAAATTCTGGGACACCCAAAGAACACAGCATAATTTTGGGGAACCCACCAGGCCCCAAACGTGGCAAGACCTACCTCCAAGGGTCATCCCTGCTTCGTAGCATTTCCTCAGGCGGCAGGAGGGACAGTTTTTCCTTCGGAATTTATCAATGGTGCAGTCATTTCGGCTGGCACAGAGATACTTTTGTTTACCTTAAAAAAGTCACAGTGAAATTTGTCATTAATAGATCAGAGGAACAAGCTGGAACAGTTGGGGTGGGGTGACTTTGTTGCAATTAAAAACACATAAATACATCAATGCATCAATAAATATACAAATCATATCAGATTTGAGGGGTTTTAATCAAGGAAATGGGAGTGCAATCAAGCAAAAATGACAGGGAGTGATGAATGATGTTCCTGCCCACAGTTTTTGTATGTGCACCTGAATACTGGAGAATCTACATCTATGTAATGGGTCATGCTACCTATGGGGAGAAATGTATCTGTGCCCCAAAGACGCCTCTGGCAGAGGCAGGTCAGAAGCAGGGCCAATTCCAGTTGCTGAGCAAAGGCTGGAAACGAGATGTCTGGGCTGCCACACCTCTGCTTCTGCTGGAAGAGCACGACCCATTGCCAGGTCTCAAGGAAGAAGCTCAGCAGGGCCCCACCAACTCTGTACGCAGCTGGCGGCAAATCCAACAAGCTGCGGTATAGAAGGGTGCAGGATATTCTCACACTGAAATCTAGGATAGGAAAAATCAAAATTTAGAATCACCCTTATTTGGGGGAAGACTAACTAGAATATTAACTGCCACCTTCCCGAGAAAATATATATATATAGTATAGTACCGTCCTCACTAATTTTGGTGGTATTATCTGGCTGGCTGGGTTGGTGACACAGAACATTCATAAATATCCAGGCGGCACTGGAAGCGGTGCTCAGCATGAGCACATATATTACCAGCCATTTGGTAAGGTTACATTAGCATGCCTGGTCACAGAGGCAGCCAAAAAATTATAGTCTTGACTTTTGGACACTTCCCTCTATCAAAATGATGGAGACGTTTCTTTCTCCTTTAACTCTCAGCTTAAAATGCCAGCAAGAAAAAGAACACCTGGACTAGGCTGGCCAGTACAGTTCTCTGAACATGTGATCCCCTCTCTCGCCTACCCTGACATGAGGGGTAAAATCACAAGGATGCATTCAGTCCTTTTATTAGTGCACTGATTTTCTTCACCCTCACCACTTCAGAAAAGCACAACTCTGAAACTGCCTTACTAATACACCCATCAGCATATTCCTGCTCCTAATTTGCCTCTTGAAAAATTCAAGGCAGCCTTAGGGTTTAAAAAGAATGTAGTACGAAAATGGCAGTTTTTTAAAAAAAATAATTATTATTTTAAGTTATGGAGAAATAGAAAAGAAAGTAGGCACAGAGAAACATGGACAAAAATAGAATGGCTAAGTGGAAACAAGGCAATAACAGCATTCCTATATGGGTGGAAGTTCAAACAGGATACGAGGAGGACAAAGGAGCAAATTTAGGGAGCACTAAAGAAAAGAAACCCGCAATAAATACATATTGCTTGCAAGTATTTGGAGATCATCTAGTCTAACAATCTATTTGATGTAAGGCATAATGGATCAGAAAGCATTCTCAACCAGGTACTTGTGCAGCTGTTCATTCCGTCTCTACAACAAACGAGAGGCTCTGTTTTACTACTGATGGTTTGCACTGTTAAAATGAATTTGTAGTCAAAATCTGCAATTCTGTGATTTCTGCTCAGAGATGATATTCCTGCTCCTCATCCTATACAACAGCCCTTGAAATATTTGTTGCAAGTCCTCTCAATTTTCTTTTCTTTAGGTTAAGCATACTTTTTCATCCCTTTCTCATGAGACTTAATTTTCAGATTGACTGCTGCCCTGGTTACCCTCTTGTGAGACACAATATTTGAACTCTTTCCAGATTGATCCATTGCCTTCAACAAATGTTTTAGGATTGTTTGCAAAATGGCAATGGATCATTTGCACCCCATTATCAACTCACTGATAAGTGTATCATGGCAAACCTTTGTACTTAACTGAATGAAAGATACCGGTATACTAGGTTGCGGGCATTCTACAATGATCTATTAAACGGTAACTCTCTAAATCAGTCCACTAGAACAAAATGCTATTGCTAAAGTTCTGATTGGGTCAAAGAGGCAACTCAATTCCAGTCTCTTCTGTTCCAGTTCCAAACTGATTCCTGAGTAAGCCCTCCAAGACTTTTAGATCAGCTGCAGCCTTCTTGGTTTGTGATTTTATTCAGAGCTCTTTTGGACTTTTGATCACTGATAACTGGGCTGGCTACATGCAACCATCTGACGGGTGTGTTATAAGTTTTATATAAAAAAATAGGAGACATGCACTTGGCTGGTTGCTGGTCTTGGGTCTTTTACTTTTACATTATGGCAGAAACTGATTTTGGAGCACATTGATGCTCTTCATATTTTAGAACAATTTCCACATTGCTCTGTTAGTCTGCTGCAGACAAATGGCAGCTCAAGGTTTATGGTGCAAACATGATGAGAAACAGTTGGCAATCAGTCACTTGAAAATCTCTCCAGAGGTGTTTTTTTTTTTTTTGCTATATTTCTGTACTTCCTATCACTGATTTATTTTGGATGGTAAACAAAAGAGAAATTAAATACGTTTGTTACTCAGTTACCTCTCTCTCAGGGAGATCTGTATAATACCAAGTTACTTTTGGAGAATAGCCAATGGCCTTTGTCGCCAAAGGTTTATACTGAAATTAATGTGTTGCTTTTTAACATGCCAAAAGATACTTCATTAGACAAATGGGCAGACAAAAAGAAAGGGAAAGGAGAAAAAGCTCTGGATCTCATTTGTTCCTGGACACATGGCCTCTAAAAAGTCCTCTGCTCAGTGCTCCATCCCTGGAGCCTTTTAAGAAGAGACTGGTCAGCCATTTGTCCGGAATGGTACCGGGTCTCCTGCTCAAGCAGAGGGTTGGACTAGAAGACCTCCAAGCTCCCTTCCAACTCTGTGATTCTGTATTCTATTCTGGCTGCTTCTTTGTCTCCCTTTCCTTGGATGGCGAATCTGAGCTGCTTTGAGAGCTCGCACCATTCAAGCACTGGGACATGTGCCTCTTGGTGCCCCCACCCCACCCCACCCAGGTCTTCACTTCCTCTTGGAGAGTAACAAGATTCCCTGGGAAAAAAGTGAAAGAGGCGAGACTGGCCAAAGTCCCTCTGCCGAGGAAGGAGGGAAGGAAGGGCTGCTCCAGCGAAGGGAGCAATCAGGAATGCCTAAGCAGGCAAGAAATTTGCTCGCTTTGACAAAAAGAAAAGAACAAGAGCGCACATATTCTTATATCCGCCTGTAACAAAGATGAGATAAGATGATTTAATAATTGGGAAAGAGAAGAATAAAAAAAACTGCCCAAGGCCACAAGTTCAAAGACTGAATTCATGCAGAAGTGTTGCATTAAAGAAAAGAGAGGAGGAGGAGGAGGAGTTGTGTTTCATCACAAGCTGCTCTGAAGAAACATGAAGTTGCCCAAGAGGAAACAGCATGAAGAGCCCTGCAACCTCAGGAGACGGAGGAACAAAGTCCGTGAAAATCATCAGGGAGGAAAAGAACGAGGAGAGAGCTGGTGGGAAGGATACAAAAAAGGGGGGATATCAGGGGGCTTGGAGAAAGGAAGGAGACTGCAAAGAAGAAGATGGGAAAGGAGAGAAGGCAAGAAAAGGCAGATACATCCCTTTGGCCTGAGGTGGGGATGGAGAGAGGCCAGGAGAGATAATAACAAAAATTAGATCTGAAAAGCAGGTTGGAGAAGCTTTAACTGAATGAACAGAGGAGTAAAAAGAAGCCTGAAAGGAATCAGATGGTAATTATTATTGAAGAATTTCAGGGCTTGAGAAAGGCCCGTGTATTTAAGACTACAGAGCAGCTGAACAGCTAGTCTCCTTTTCTGTGAACAGGTTGTTTTGGGTAGGTGGTGGGGCTAAAGTTTGCCTGCCTGACTTTTGTCTTGGAAGGTAGCAGCACCTGCCAGACCTGGAAAGGGATCCACAGCAGGATCGGGTTCAGTCCCTATTTGGATGACGAACCACTTGGGTAATGAAGAGCTGCCGATTGAAGACACCCCTAAAGAAGCCGGTGGAGGACCACGTCCACATCCGTTGCTCAGACATCTGCCTTTCAGTCACCAAGAGGCGAGTTTGAATTCAGCTTTCCCATCCCAAATCACCAGGTTTTTTACATTGAATTGTTCTAGGTTGCCCCTTACTAAACACAGATTTTAACTCTATTTATTGTGATGAATCAAATTCTATGCATTATTTTTGTAAGCCTCTTAAAAGTTTACATTATGAACAAAAACAAGCATGTTTTAAAGCAGGGGTTGCCAACCCCAGGCGGTCCATGGCATGCCAGCAGCATGTGACCCAAAGGCTGCCTCCGGTCCACGGAAAAAACCTCCCTCCACAGAGCCGGCCCCTAGTGCCCAAAAGGTCAGGGGCCACTGTTTTAAAGTTTTTTTTAAAAAAAAAAAGAAAGGGGAGGGTGTTAATTAGCAAGGAGGTGCAAAGTTTGTCCAACTGGGAACAGATCACCTGAGAATGTTGCTGCCAGTGGACCATGTCCTGGAAGTCCTCAAAACTGAAACTAACCTGGTCCTGAAATAGGCCTATTTCGCCAGAATACAATATTTAGTTTCCCAAATCCTCCTTTCTCCGGTTGGCAAATTCTGCATATCCTGAGTAACTAGCCAGGAAGAATGACTGAGTTAAAGGCAGATTGAAAGTGGGAAGGAAAGAAATGTGAGGAAAGGAAGTAAAATTGGGAAAAGTCTAGGAAGAAAGTTAGGGGTTCAAGAGGCTGCCCTTGAAGAATACCCTGAAACCAGTTGGGGCAAAATGCAGCAGCATGAGCATTTCTATCTGCTTCTGTTACAGCCCACATTATATCTCTGCTCTGCAAGTCGCATTGGGTACCAGTATGTTTCCAGGTCCAATTCAAATAGCTGCTGTTGACCTACATGGCATGGGATGAAATTGTTTGATGCACCACCCTTCCCCAAATTCATGGCTGCCCATCCCACCAGTTCTGACAGAGTGGGCCTGTTATAGGTTCTTTCATCTAAGGAGCTATATTGGGTGAGTCCTGGGTGGGAGGCCGTTCCCGCTGTGACCCT